GCCTTCTTTAAAATTCAATGCATATGTAAAGAAATATACGGTAACCCGAATTTACCACACTCGCAAAATCGCACACAGCCAACCATACACCCAGTATGGTATCGCGATTCGTGATTTTGCGCTATCATACTGGGTGTATGGTCGGCTGTGTGCGATTTTGCGAGTGTGGTAAAATCGCATAACAGCAAAATCGCATAACAGCCGAGCGTACACCCAGCAGCGCTGCTGATGCCTGAACGGTATGTGGAATGAAGTGGGCGGGCATCGGGAGGCCACTATGGCACGGGGCAAGCACTATGGGCAGTCTATCTGAAGTGTACCTGGCGTATAAGACGACCCCCCCACTTGGAGGCATATTTTTCAGGGCCAAAAAATCGTCTTATACGCCGGCAAATACGGTAGATAAATGTAAGTATGTGTGTTTTTAAGGTTTAAACGTGTATGACCCTGAATAGGTAACACAGTTCAAAACCAGAAAGGAATTCCTTTCTGCTTGCCTTTCCCACAGGTCCTGGACCCAGAGAAGCAGGCGGACATGCTGGACTCCCTGAGGATTTACCTCCTGCAGTATGCCACGCTGCTGGTGGAGCACGCCCCCCACCACATCCACGACAACAACAAGAACCGCAACAGCAAGCTGCGCCGCCTGATGACCTTCGCCTGGCCCTGCCTGCTCTCCAAGGCCTGTGTAGACCCAGCTTGCAAATACAGTGGGCACTTACTTCTGGCACACATTATTGCCAAATTTGCAATACATAAGAAAATTGTCCTGCAGGTACTTTGCGAGGCTCCCTCATGTCTGCCCAACAATTGGATGCATTTCCATACTTGTATATACTGCTCCTGTACCATTGTGACCTCTCCTTTTCTGTTGACTTTTCCCAATGCCATTCGGTAATGCTCATCTCTGCCATCTCTTAAAAACTGTGAAATCTCCCGTGACTATTTATTCTCTCCTTCTTCCCCAGTTATTGCTCTGCTTGAGTTCCTCTGCAGCCTTGCTTTTAAAACAACAAAATGTCTCCTTTGTCCAGCTCATGCTCCTCACCTATTGCAGTCTGGCTTTCAATTCTTCGTTCCATTGAAAATGTTTTCGTCGCCCTAGCCGGTTTGGCTCAGTGGGTAGAGCGTCGGCCTTGGGACCAAAGGGTCCCAGGTTCAATTGCCGTCAAGGGCACATGACCAGGTTGCAGGTTCAATCCCCAGTGTGGGGTGTGCAGGAGGCACCCAATCAGTGATTCTCATCATTGATGTTTCTGTCTGTCTTTCCCTCTCCCTCCTTCTCTGAAATCTGTACAAAAAAAGAAAAAGAAAATATTTTGGTCAAGGCCCCAGCCCATTACTTTGCTATAGATCAGTGATGGAGAACCTTTTGAGTTCGGCATGTCAGCATTTTGAAAAACCCCAACTGAACTCTGGTGCCATGTCACATATAGAAATTTTTTGATATTTGCAACCATAGTAAAACAAAGGTTTATATTTTTGATATTTATTTTATATATTTAAATGCCATTTAACAAAAATCAACCAAAAAAATGAGTTCACGTGTCACCTCTGACACGCGTGTCATAGGTTCGCCATCACTGCTATAGATAGTGGGTACTTTTGAACCCTCATCGTGTAAGCCCTCCACTGTGCTGATGATCTTGACCTGTCTTCCCTGAGCCCCTCAGTGATTTAGGCTTTGATGTCAGATAGCCCTGGGTTTGAGTTGTTTCTTCTACTAAGGAGTTCCATGACCCTGAGTGAGTTGGTTACTGTCTCTGTGTAAGAATTCAATGTAATAATAGACTTGAGTGCTCAGCCTGTCTTTCCCTTTAAGCATTTGGTAAGCAGTCGCTCTTGTCCTATTCTGTGAGGTCATTCTTTGTTTCCCTCTGACAACTACCTCTTGTGAATATCTGTGGTGTTAAACCCAGCCCCAATAAAGCCAGTGGCCTCTCAGATATCACCTCCCACAGGCACTTGAGATATAAATACAGTCTCTGTGATTGGCACTGCTCTCCCCCAGTTTCCCAGCCAGAGATCTGAGTGCCATCTGTGACACCCTCTCGTTCTGCCCAGCATGGAGGCATGGGCAAGTCCTGTTGATTTCCAAGACCCTTCCTGTCCCTTCACTCTCAGTACTGTTGGGTGGTCTTTGTGTTCCCCTGATATAAGCACTTCACTGCTCACTTGAACTGTTGTAAGATGACCTCTGATCGTGGCCCCTTTCACTCCATTTTTTTATACTGTGGCCAGAGTGAATGACTGACTTCTCATAGGTTATGTAGACATTGATGTCTGCAGGGAACTAGGTCTCATTCGTCCTGGAATATTCCACCCTAGCCAGGCATGGGCCCCTAATAGGTGTGCAATCAGTATTACAATGAATGTATTCATTGATCAAAACTTAATGAAGGAGAAAGCAACTATGTTGTTTCCCAATAAGAGAGCTCTGAGGGATTTTTAAAAAATATGCCTTGGTTCTAAGAGATTGTTTTTATCTTGTTTTGAAAGCCTTTATTTTTATCTTAGGTAAGAATTTCTCTCCCGTTTTAGGTTTTTCACAGTCTTCTCAAGGCCCATGCAATGGAAGCTCGAGCAATTGTCAGACAAGCGATGGCCATTTTGACTCCAGCAGTGCCAGCCAGAATGGAGGATGGTCACCAGATGCTGACCCACTGGACAAGGAAGATCATTGTGGAGGAGGGGCACACAGTTCCTCAGCTGGTTCATATTTTGCACTTGATAGTGCAGCATTTTAAGGTACACAGAAAGGACTGCAGATAGATGTGTGATGCACATTCAGGCGTTTGCTTTAACATTTTGCCTATTTTTCAGTTTCTGCAGTAATAGGGGGTCAGTCTTTTAGTAGAAGTATTTCAGATCCATTGATTAGTGTGTGTATGTGTGTGTGTGTGTGTTTATGGCTTTATCAACATGGAAATTGCTATAGTTTAGAGAATGTGTTAGATGTATTTCTGTCTAGACTGCATTTTTCTTGTTAGTACTCTCATTTAACAGTGGATACACATAAATTGTTAACTTTGGGAGGAGTCATCATTAACTCTAGATTTTGGTAACTCGGCTAAAATAGTTATTCTTGTTGCTGGCATCTCCTTTCTGTAGCTAAATTGCCCATTTTGTTGGATTTACATAAATATGAAAATAATTTTTGTAAAATTTTGGGTAGAGGAGAAAGGATTTAGTAGTATTGAGCTGAAAGCTGTTACAGCTTTTAAATTGGGAATTTGCTTCTTGGCATGGCTAAACTATTATGATAGCAAGTGTTAAGTTTGATACAGATGATTAGACTTTTCTACCTAAAGAGAACTCAGTGTTTCAACATTTAAAAAAATTTTTTTTTTTATTGATTTCTGAGAGGTAGGGAGAGAGAGAGATAGAAACATCAATGATGAGAGAGAAACATCAATTGGCTGCCTCCTGCATGTCCCCTACTGGGGATTGATCCCGCAACCTGGGCATGTGCCCTGACCGGGAATTGAATTGTGACTTCCTGCTTCGTAGGCCAGCACTCAACCACTTAGCCACACGGCCGGGTGAGTGTTTCAACATTTTTAAAAAATGGAACTAAATCACTGAGTTACACTATTGTATTGGGACTCAACCAGAGACAGAGGAAGTGATAAATACATACATAAGGTAATGAGAATTTCCTCACTGAAGTTATGGTTGGCTTATGTGAGTATTTTGGGACCGAGGCAGGTTGTATGTGTATATATGTGCATGTGCATATGTGTTGTGTGTGTGTGGTCACAGCACAACGTCCCTAGTGTGACACAAGCCCTGTGCTCACAGGTGTACTACCCCGTGCGGCACCACTTGGTACAGCACATGGTCAGTGCCATGCAGAGGTTGGGCTTCACACCCAGCGTCACCATTGAGCAGAGAAGGCTGGCTGTGGACCTGTCGGAGGTTGTCATCAAGTGGGAGCTCCAGAGGATCAAGGACCAGCAGGTAGAGATGTTAGCCCTCTTGTGTCACCCTTGATTGTATTCCTTACGCTTCTCTGCAGAAATTAGTAAAGTCAAATGTGTGTGTTTCTTAAGCCGGATTCAGATATGGATCCAAATTCCAGTGGAGAAGGAGTCAACTCTGTGTCATCTTCCATTAAAAGAGGCCTCTCAGTGGATTCTGCCCAGGAAGTGAAACGCTTTAGGACGGCTACAGGAGCAATCAGCGCGGTAAGATCATTGCACACATGGCGTGTGCTTCCTTTTATAGGCTCTGAGCTTCCTTGTGGGAGTGTGGTCACTTACTCAACGGACTCTGAGCGTGGGCTAAGTGCTCAGCACCATGCCAGAGAGAAACCCAGTGACATGCTACCGACTCAAGGTGTTTCCCTGTTACCAGATGCAGTTTTCTTTGTGCCACTTAATGTCACTAGAGTGCTGATGATCATAGTTAATTACTTGCAGAAAGGCATCAAGAGAAACTCTTTGGGGCAAGAAAATTGATTGAGAACATGCACCCATGGTGCATTGAGTTTTAGAAAAGATAGCATGTCCTGTTTTGTTTGGAGGGCAGCTGGGTACCAAAAGAGCCTGTGGGTGCGAACTCTACTTCCCACTCCCTCTGTTTCTCCGGAGCATGTGTCCCTGCATTCACCCTGTACTCAAATGAGAAACCTGGAACTATCTGCAATCTGTCCATTCCCTTCTCTCCACACAGCTGGTCAAGAGCAAGTCCTGGCAGCCCAGCCATGAACACCTCACCCTCTGCTCAGTTCTGTACCCACCATGGTGGTGCAGGCAGACGCCTAGTCCCTTCTCACGGGGATTACTGAAACTGCCTCCCAGTTCCTCTCAGGCCTTCCACTTTTATTTCTCTTTATTACACTTTTAACAGAGCAGAGTACCAAAATACACTCCTTCCAAAATCCTAGCTAGAGAAAGCTGGATGAAGGGTACATGACACCTCTACGTCTTTGTGACTTCTTGGGACTATTCTAGTCATTTCACGTAAACACTTAAAGCAGACGATTTTTTCCCTCACTAACCCTTTCCCTTGACGCTGGCTTTCAGTGCCCGTGTGACCTGCCCTTCCGATGGCCTTCATGCCCTGCACTTGCTCATGCTGCCGCAGCTGTGCAGGCCTTTCCTCACCTCAGAAACGCCAGTTCTGTGCTCGCTAGGACGTGTGCACTGGCTCCATTACCTCTCGCTGGCTCAGTTCTCTCTTTTCATGGCTGGCTTTTTCTCAGTCGGAGAGGTACCTTGGTAGCATCCTTTCACTTCCTGGACCACGCTCCCTTCCAGTCTTGCAAATGTCCCATTGCTTTCTTTGTGGCTACTTCGTTTATTAGTTGTCCTGCCTCTGGTGTCCCTCTACCCAGAATGGCATCTGTTCCCTGTTACTGAGCTGCACAGGCCACTGCTGTCCCCTGGAATGCATTTTTGAGAGGCTCTTCCTGTCCTTGTAGGTGTTTGGGAGGAGCCAGTCGCTGCCTGGAGCGGACTCCCTTCTTGCCAAGCCAATTGATAAACAGCACACGGACACCGTGGTGAACTTCCTCATCCGGGTGGCTTGTCAGGTGCGGGTTCTGAATGTCTTATATTAAGGATTTCTCAGAACAAAGTCTACTTGGTCAACTATAGAACGTTATCTGTGACAGTTTAGTAAAAAATGAAAGAAAGAAAGAAAGAAAAGAAATAGACGAACCAAAGTCTGACAGGTAGTCTGATACTTTCATACCAGATTTCATGACATGCTGATAATTCTGAAGTCTGCCTTGTCTTATAATTTATATGATATTTAAGAAATATTTTTTCTTTTAGCAGTGATAATATAATGGTATGTCTAATAATTAGTGGAATCATGGTATTAGTGAAACATTGTAGCAGTTCAGTGATCTTGGGCAAATTATTTTAACTTTCAAGTTACATAGCTCATAAAGGTGTTGGGTTAGTCCAACACAACATTTAGTAGCTTAAATGCTTTTACACCCTGGATGCGTAGCTCAGGTGATTAGAGCATCCTCCTGATACTCCATGGCTGAGGGTTCAGACTCCAGTCAGGACGTATACAAGAAGCAGCCAGTGAGGCATAAAGAAGTGGAGCAACAAATTGATGTCCTCTCTCCTGTCTCTTCTCTCTCTTCTCCCTCCACCCCTCAAGTCAATAGATAAAATATAAAAAAAATAAATGCAAGCATTTATTTACCACTCATATCAATACCGGTTTTCATGGAGTTTTAGAGGATCTATTTCTGAAACTTCATTTTTATATTTCAAACAAACATTGCAAATGAAATTTTCCTACGTTTTTTAAAATTTGGTAATCTTACATTTTTATAACTATTAAACAAAATTGCAATACTATTAAGTATTGAGACTTTCCAAGTACTGAAAGGAACCTACTAAACCAGCGATTTTCAACCTTTTTCATATCATGCACACATACACTAATCATTGAAATTCTGTAGCATGCCAACAAATATATTTTTTTGCCAATCTGACAAATTAGGTATAATTTTGATTTGGTCATACCGGACGGCTGTTGCTGTGTTGGCTGTTGTCATATATATTTTTTTAAAATATATTTTATTGATTTTTTACAGAGAAGAAGGGAGAGGGATAGAGAGTTAGAAACATTGATGAGAGAGAAACATCGATCAGCTGCCTCCTGCACGCCCCCCAGTGAGGATGTGCCTGCAACCAAGGTACATGCCCCTGACCGGAATCGAACCTGGGACCCTTGAGTCCGCAGGCCGACGCTCTATCCACTGAGCCAAAACCGGTTCGGCGGCTGTTGTCATATTTTTATTTGACATTTTAATGGAAAACAGTTCAGTGCTCCTTACTAAGTAGCCAGATATTGCATGTTTTAAAGATTCTTGCCTGGATGGTGTGGTTCAGTGGTTGAGTGTCCACCCATGAATCAGGAGGTCATGGTTCGATTCCCCGTCAAGGCACATGTCTGGTTTCCGGACTTGATCCCTAGCAGGGGAGGTAGAGGAGGTAGCCGATAGATGATTTTCTCTCCTCATTGATATTTCTATCTCTCTCCCTCCCTCTCTCTTCCTCTCTGAAATGAATAAAAACATTTTAAAAAATTCTTGTGGCACACCAGTTGAAAATCAATGTACTGAACTATTCAATCACTACTTTCTTGCCTGTTGCAGTGTGCTGGGCATAGCTTAGGTCAGTGATGGCGAACCTTTTGAGCTCAGCGTGTCAGCATTTTGAAAAACCCTAACTTAACTCTGGTGCCATGTCATATATAGAAATTTTTTGATATTTGCAACCATAGTAAAACAAAGACTTATATTTTTGATATTTATTTTATATATTTAAATGCCATTTAACAGAAAAATCAACTCAAAAAAATGAGTTCGCCTGTCACCTCTGACACACGTGTCATAGGTTCGCCATCACTGGCTTAGGTGATCCAGAAGGGAGGAACATGGATCCTTGCCCTCAGGGAGCCTCTTGACATTAATCAGTCAATCACACAAATGGTTGCAAATCACCACTGACCCAATGTAACGGAGAGGGAGGGTCCCTGCAGCCGAGAGGGCTGAGTTGAGTCGGTAGGAGAGGAGGGGGCTGTGAGGTAGACAGCTGGGATGCAAGGGCATGGGGCATGAGCAAGAAGCAGTGTCACAGGAATGACTAAACATGTATGCAGTGAACTGTGGGCTTGAATGAATGAATTTCCAGGTTAATGACAACACCAACACTGCCGGGTCTCCTGGGGAGGTGCTTTCTCGCCGGTGTGTGACCCTCTTGAAAACTGCCTTGCGACCAGACATGTGGTCAAAGTCTGAGCTCAAACTGCAGTGGTTCGACAAGCTGCTGATGAGTGTGGTAAGTGTGGGGGTCTTTTGCTATTGCCTGGGCGTGGGGCTGGGCCACCAAAATCTGAATCTTCCATTCCTTTGTCCACTTGTAGCCCCTTCCACTTTGTCTGCTGGCTGCTGTTGACCTTAAAAATAAAATAGTTGTTTTACCAGAGAATAGCAGAGGAATTGCAAGCTGTAGCAAAAACCACAGAGCAAGTCCAGCAAACAAAGGAGAGGAACTTGACTTTCTAGAGCAGTGGTTCTCAACCTTCCTAATGTCGCGACCCTTTAATACAGTTCCGCATGTTGTGGTGACCCCAATTTCATTGTTACAAATTGAAAATAATTAAAGCATAGTGATTAATCACAAAAACAATATGTAATTATAGATGTGTTTTCTGATGGTCTTAGGCGACCCCTGTGAAAGGGTTGTTCGACCCCCAAAGGGGTCGCGACCCACAGGTTGAGAACCGCTGTTCTAGAGGCAAATGAGAGGGATTATTTTGAACAGAAGTCTGTTGGGATGGAGGAGATTGAGAGTTTAGGGTGGTGATTGATTCTTGTTGGCTAAGTTGCTGGGCAAGGAAGGAACTCTTCCTGCTGGAGTAATAAGGTAGTGTTTCTTTCCTATCACATACCGTCACAATTGAATCAATCACGCTCAGTCATAAATGGATAGCCGCTGCCGGTACACAGTCTAGCAGTTTCATAGCACAAGGCGCTGTGCTCACAGTGACTTGCACCTCTCGCACAGTCAGGGAGCTTTTACCCATAGCCCCGTGCATATACATACAGGCATAAACCACAGAGACAGAAGTTTCACGAAGCAAACCATGGACTCTGTTTTCTGTTTTATTGTTTTTTATTTTTATTTTTGTTTTTAATTCTGGCATCATCTCTTAGATTGATTTCATGATAGAGTTTCAAAGATATTTCCTTTTGGAAGAATATTTGCATTTTAACTAAAAAGGTGGAAGGAGACAAGCAAAATACATTGCAATAACTGCCTTTAGACCAGATTTTAGTGATTTTCAAAATTTTAACATTTAATATTGAATATTTTTCATGAGCTTTTGAAACAGTCTAGACTAAATATTTAAAGCAAATTGATTAAAAGAAACAAAATCCTACTGTTTTAATAAAATATGGTGGTCACATGTTTTTATACATATCATGTATTCATTCTTTAGTGATTTTTTACTTCACTTCTAAGTACTTGGTAGCACGTAGCTTTAAGTTTTGATTGACTATATAACTTTCTGCACTAGAGTATTCATCCGTGTGCGACCTGTGTTCTCCCTTCCAGGAGCAGCCTAATCAAGTTAACTATGGAAATATTTGCACGGGCTTGGAAGTGCTGAGTTTCTTGCTCACTGTTCTCCAGTCTCCAGCCATCCTCAGTAGCTTCAAACCCCTGCAGCGTGGAATCGCTGCCTGTATGACGTGTGGAAACACCAAAGTGTTACGAGCAGTCCATAGCCTTCTCTCACGTCTAATGAGCATTTTCCCAACAGAGCCAAGTATGTCACCTTTCCCGCGGGTGCCTTTCTGAGTGGATGGGTGGTCACAAAGCTTGTTATTGGAGAGGGCTCATCCTCCAGTTACTATATGGAGCATTTTATTATGTCACTTTTCTTAATATTTTCAACCTTTTTTTAAAAAAAATTGATATGAGAACTTAACAGCAATAGTCACTGCGTCCTATTTTTTGTCTGCTTTGGAAATGCAGTCCTTCATTAGCTGAGCATTGCTGATTCTGTAAGTTATTAAAGGGAAGATAGATGAAAATATTTTGTCAAACAGTGAACAGTTGACAAAATAAATACTGTTAAGTGTATTTAGAGTGAGTTGAGTTGAGATAAAAGTTCAGCTTTGTAAAGTAGGAACCCTGCTCCGAGGTGAGCACCAGTGGGAGAGAAGTTGCCATAGGTGCCAAAATAACTAAAGCTCAGCCTTAGAGTGAGGGACGTTAACGTCCCAGGGCCTGGACAGGCCTAAGAACCCAAACCACAGAGCCCAGTTCTGGCTTCTGTTTCAGGCACGTCCAGTGTGGCCTCTAAGTACGAAGAGCTGGAATGCCTCTATGCGGCCGTAGGGAAGGTCATCTATGAAGGACTCACCAACTATGAGAAGGCCACCAACGCGAATCCCTCCCAGCTCTTTGGTGAGTAAGTGCCAGGCTTGGTTTTCCCTGCACTGGTTCAGTTTGGCATTGTTCTGTTCGCGCTCCCTGGACAAACTTTCCTTAGAAGGGAAGGCTCAGGCCGTCCGGGGGTCCTTGAGGGTGTTGGTGTGTGGCTTGGCGCATACCAGGCCATGGTCCCCATTGGTCTTGGAGGTGAACCGCCCCCCCCCCCCCCCCCCCCCCCACACACACACACAACCAACACTAGCACTTCCTTGTTTCTTCCGCCTCATCATGAGATGCAGATTTGGTTGCGAGGGGAATCGCCCCAGGTTGCATGGGTACTCCTGGCCCCATTTTACACCAAGCGTAGAGATGCTGCTAAAACGGTGTACCCGTATGTAGAATCACTGCCTTTCACGATGTGGTCACCTGTCAGCCACTCACAAGCCAAGAACGCCTTCCCAACTTCTTGGTGAGGCTCTGGCTGCCCCAGGTGAAAGAAAGTTGGTTTCTTGGGTCAGGGCAGCTGGGTAACGTTGGCTTCCAGACACCCAGAAGTCAAATGTATAAATACCCACTCTGTTTTTTGACAATTTTAAAAACTTTTCTAAAAAAAACAAACACTGAATTTCTACCTTTTAGGGACCCTTATGATCCTCAAGTCTGCCTGCAGCAACAACCCGAGCTACATAGACAGGCTGATCTCAGTCTTCATGCGCTCCCTGCAGAAGATGGTCCGAGAACACCTCAATCCGCAGGCAGCCTCCGGCAGCACAGAGGCAACCTCAGGTGACACACTTGACTTGGTCCCCAGTTTTTCCTCAGACTAAACAGTGCTGGCTCTGTCAGTGAATTTTATGTTTCTTTCTTTTTTTTTCCAATCTATTCATTGATTTTTAGAGAGAAGGGGGAGGGGCGGAGAGGGATAGAGAGAGAGAAACATAGATGAGAAAGAAACATCGATCGACTGCTTCCTGCATGCTCCCCCACTGGGGATCGAGCCTGCAACCTGGGCATGTGCCCTAACCCGGACTCGGGTTGGTGAACTCTTGGTTCATGGGTCAGTACTCAACCGCTGCGCCACACCGACCGGACTGTGACTGAATTTTAAAGTGAACACTAATGCCTGCTGTTCATGAGCAATTTATTATTAGTTGCTCTTAACAAAGAGTTTCTATGTGGTTCATTTAAAACCAAAATGAGACTTCTTTTTAAAATGAATTGCTTTTAAAATTTGTGATTGTGAGAGTGAAGAAATTTTTATCTTTTTTTTTTTTAAACTGCACCCCAGGATATTTTTCTGTTGACTTTTAGAGAGAGTGGAAGGGCGGGAGAGAGATGGAGAAATATCTATGTGAGAGAGAAACCTTGATTGGTTGCCTCCCACACAAGCCCTAACCAGGACTAGGGATCGAGCCTGCAACCCGGGCATGTGTCCTTGAATGGAATCGAACCTGGGACTCTTCAGTCCACAGACCAATGTCTATCCACTGAGCCAAACCGGCTAGGGCTGAAAAAAATTTTTTTAAAAAATATATTTTATTGATTTTTTACAGAGATGAAGAGAGGGATAGAGAGTTAGAAACATTGATGAGAGAGAAACATTGATCAGCTGACTCTTGCACACCTCCTACTGGGGATGTGCCCGCAACCAAGGTACATGCCATTGGCCGGAATCGAACCTGGGACCTGTCAGTCCGCAGGCTGACGCTCTATCCACTGAGCCAAACCGGTTAGGGCGAAATTTTTAAATGAATGGTCATTTATGTGGAACACGCACCATTGAATGAGAGTTATCTAACCATTTTGCTGTAAAGCAGAGATTACTTAGAGTTGTTACACCTGATGGCGAATTAGATTGTAGGTTCTAGATTTGAGGAGTGGGCTCCAAAAATCTGGGTGATATGTTTGGCGGGGGGCTGGTTGGCACAGCTGCTCGATGCAGCTTGGAACACAAGTGCTATGAATGTGACTTTGGGACTTGGCTATACCCCAGGGTTACCTGCACTGGTTCCAACCGCTCCACCATTTCTTCCTCATGGGGAGCTTGTTACAGGGCCACCCTTGCAAGGTGGTGTAATAGGAAGAAAGTGATGAGACTGGAGAAAGTATTTTTGGGAAAAATGGGCAGAATTAATGTGCCATGTAGTGCAGAGTGGTTGCCTGTTGACACATGCTTGTAGAAATTGTTGAGCTGTGTTCTTTCTCCACGTGAGCAGGAACTAGTGAGCTGGTGATGCTGAGTCTGGAGCTGGTGAAAACACGCCTGGCTGTGATGAGCCTGGAGATGAGGAAGAACTTTATTCAGGCCATCCTGACCTCCCTCATTGAAAAATCACTTGATGCCAAAATCCTCCGGGCTGTGGTTAAAATTGTGGAAGAGTGGGTTAAAAATAATTCCCCAATGGCAGCCAATCAGGTGAGCTGGGAAGAGGGGCTGCAAGTTGACTAGGTGACCTTTATATGTAAAAGAAAATTCAGGCCTCACTTTCTCAGCTCTTCTTCTGGAAGTTTTCAATCAGGCAAAACTTTTTTCTCCTGTATTTGCATTCACAGTATCTTTTTTAAAAGATGGTTTTTCTCACTGTGCTGAACAGATTTTAAATAGAAACTTGAGACAAAGCCCTTATCTTAATGTGGTTTTACTTGTTCAAATGTTAAATAAACCTTACTTGTTAGTCTTTGTATGATGATGAAGGTAAACGAAGAAAAAAAATGAGGGATTATTAGTTAATATAAGACTAGAGGCCTGGAGCCTTGGTCTGGCCTGTGGGATTGGGCCAAAACCTGCTCTCTGACATCCCCCGAGTGGTCCTAGATTGCGAGAGGGCGAAGGCCAGGCTGAGGGACCTCACGGGTGCACAGTTGGGGCTGGGAAGGGACGAGGGAGGTTGGCCAGCCAGGGAGGGACCAAGGGAGGGCTCCAGGGCATGTCCAGCTCATCTGGCTCATCTGGCTCATCTGGCTCAGTCCTGATCAGCCAGACCCCAGCAGCAAGCTAACCTACCTGTTGGAGCACCTGCCCCCTGATGGTCAGTGCACGTCATAGTGACTGGTCCACCGGTCAACTGTCTGCCCTCTGGTGGTCAGTGCACATCATAGCGAGTGGTTGAGTGACCTTAGCACATCATTAGCATATTGCACTTCGATTGGTTGAATGGATGACTAGACACTTAGCATATTAGGCTTTTATTATATAGGATGCTTGCAAACTTCTGATTAGTTTTACAATTTAATTGCTCTCTCTCCAAAGTGACTTGCAGTTCCTAGGAAAATTATATTGGCACTCATCTTGATTTCAAGCATAATTTTTTGTTTGTTTAGAAATGACTGTCTTAAATTACTTGACAAAATTGTAGGAGCTTAAAAAGTGGTAGAGCAGGTGGCTGAAGTACTTCTGGACATGTTTTCTCTTAGATAGAAGTAATTGACCTTTTGTATTAAAAAATTCATACAGACACCTACTCTCCGGGAGAAGTCCATTTTGCTTGTGAAAATGATGACCTACATAGAAAAGCGTTTTCCAGAAGACCTTGAGTTAAACGCACAGTTCTTAGACCTTGTTAACTATGTCTACAGGTAATTACAGCAATTATCAAATATTTCGTGTATCAGTCTATAGTGTGTTCTCTGACTAAGCAACATTACATGACATTTTAAGTTTTTGTTATACCTAAGATATATTCATTTAAATTCTAAATCATGTAACATATTTTGGCATCATTACTGAACATTTTGCACCAATGCTGCATCAGTCTATGATGATTTGTAGCATATTCTTGTTTTAGATAAAGGCATTTTGGGAAGTTGGTACCCACTTGTTTGCTTATGGCTTGACGCGTTCACCTTTGGGTATAGCCTTTTCATTTTAGTATCATTCTTTCGATTACAGGGACGAGGCACTGTCTGGCAGTGAGCTGACTGCAAAACTCGAGCCTGCCTTTCTCTCTGGGCTGCGTTGTGCCCAGCCACTCATCAGGGCGAAGTTTTTCGAGGTTTTTGACAACTCTATGAAACGTCGGGTTTACGAGCGTCTGCTTTATGTGACCTGCTCCCAGAATTGGGAAGCCATGGGGAACCACTTTTGGATTAAGCAGTGCATCGAGGTAGGAAAAGCTCAGCTCACTCTCTGTGGCTGGGGCACTGAAGCCAGGAAGTGTTCACTACACCAAGATGAATACAAATCTCCCCTATTCAACCACTTTTAATCTCTAATAGGAAGAAAAAAAAGACTGAAAGCCAAGCTTTGATCCAAAGCTCTTTTGGGGTGATTTTAAGTGCTTTAATTAGAAAGTTGAATAGTATTCCTTAGTTTGTAGCTACAGATTCATTTCCCCTCAAATATAAAAGTTGTAAATTCTGTCTATATGCCCTAGAAGATTGAATGTCTATAACTGTCAGCTCTCCTAATTCTTAAAACAGGAAGGTGGGGCCTCCAGTCGAGGCCATGGGCTCTGATCCCTGTGTAGGGGAGTCAGGGTGCTGGGGATAAAGGCCTGTGTAAAATAGTCTGATAGTCAGACCTTTTATTGGATGGAAAGTCAGATATTTTTGGATATTTATTTTAAAAAAAAGATTTATTGACTTTTAGAGAGAGAAGAAGGGAGAGGGAGAGAGGAACATCGATAAGAGAGTGAAACATTGATCGGCTGCCTCTTGCATGCCCTCTATTTGGGATTGAGCCCAAAACCTGGACATGTGCCCTGGCTGGGAATTGAACCAGCAGTCTTTCTGTGCATGGGATGATGTCCAGCTAATTGAGTCACACTGGCCTGGGCTTGGCTATTTCTAACAGGATTGTAGTGAGACTTCCTGTTTTTTTTAGAAATTATTTATTGCTTTTAGAGAGAGAGAAAAGTTGGAAGGGGGTTTGGAGGGTAGACAGCTACCTGTTGTTCATTATTTATGCATTCATTGGTTAATCCCCCTCAATATATTGTTATTGATTTCAGAGAGGAAGGGAGAGGGAGAGAAACACTAATGATGGGGAGAATCACTGATCTGCTGCTTCCTGCAAGCCCCCCACTGTGGATTGAGCCTGCAGTCCAGGCACATGCCATGACCGGGAATCAAACCCATGAACTCTTCCTGGTTCATAGATTGAGCCACACCAGCAGGCCAGGCATTTATTAGTGATTTTTGTATGTGCCCTGCCTAGGGATTGAACCCCCAACCATATTGTATTAGAACAATGCTCTAACCAACTGAGCTACCCGGCCAGGCCGGGTGATTTTAATGGGCTGTTCTTTATTCTTTGGCTTATTAATAACCAATTAACTGAACCAGGAAACGTAGGTTTCCTGTAGCGCTTGCTATGATGCAGTCAATTCTAGATTCTTACCCAGCATGAATGAAATTAGAAAGTTACCAAATTACTTTTTTTAAAAAAATATATTTTATTGATTTTTTTACAGAGAGGAAGGGAGAGGGATAGAGAGTTGGAAATATTGATGAGAGAGAAACATTGAGCAGCTGCCTCCTGCATACCCCCCACTGGGGATGTGCCTGCAACCAAGGTGATATGCCCTTGACTGGAATCGAACCTGGAACCTTTCAGTCCGCAGGCCGACGCTCTGTCCACTGAGCCAAACCGGTTAGGGCCCAAATTACTTTTTTTTTAATGGGACAGAAGGTTGTGGAATTCTCTTTGAGGGAAAAGAAGGAAACTGTGGCACTGGGTTTCAGTGAGAGCATGTTAACTGACATATTTCAGTTTGTGCTGAATTTGTGTTTTCTTAATGCTGAATGTAGCATATATTTGGAGTTTTGCTCATGGCAACAGAATGGACAAAGTTCCCTGACATATTCATCATTTCTTCAAGAGATCTATTGATGGCTATTATTAGGTGCCAGGCCCTGGTCAGGTACTTCAGATACAGAGATGGAAGACATTTCCTGAGACAAGTACATAGGAATTGATGGAGGACAAGGCAAGGCTGTAGGGCACAAGCCAGGAATCCTCCCTTCCTTCTCTCCATCCTGTGTATCCAGTCAGTCACCAGGTGTTGCCAATTTAGGATCACTTGCTTCTCTCCCATCTCCTTCCTCCTTGCAGCCACCATCATTGCTTATAAGGATGATGGGTACTGTGTTCTTAGTGTTCACCAACCTTCCCTCCTACCCACCACAGTTTTATTGTTACAAAATCATTCTTAAAGAACAAAGTCGATTGTGTTGCTCCTTGCCATTGTATTTGGCACAAAATCCAGCCTGTAGGATACGGTCTTGCTAGCCCCTGAGTGACCAGACCCCTGCCACTCTGTCCAGTCCTATGCTGTTCTTCTCTCCCTCACTCAGCCTTCTGTGTTCTCAAATGTGCCACATTTTTGACACCAAGCTGAAGTGGGCACCCTTTTCTCCATCAGTCTACTGTTCCTTGGCTGCTGTCAAAAGTATGCATTTCTTTATGTGGTGATGTTGGTGTTGTCCCTCCCTCTGACACTAGCTTCACGAGGGTAGGGGATGCCATGTCTGTGAAGTTGACAAACGAACCTCCAGGGCCTCACACAGACCTTAGTGGGTGCTCAGTAAATATTTGCCAAGAGAATGCTGGGGCGGTCGGGGCAGGGGGTGGGGGTGGTATGAGCCAAGGCTGGGTGCTGAAGCATATTGGGGTTGTGGGGAGTAGGCACGGAAGTGTTACATGCAGGTGGGGAGTGTTACATTACGAAAGTTCTTGTGAGCCTCGCTCTAAGGAGCTTGCACTGTTCCCCGAGAACTGTGGAAGCCATTGGGGGGTCAGCTGTGTGGAAGAAGATGCATTTGAAAAGAGTATGTCAAGATGATTTAGGGAGTTATGTCCAGGCAGGAGGTGACATTGGCAGGACTTGGTGATGTGGCATGAGTGATGAGAGAAAAGAAAAAATTAGGTGGCTGAAGCAAAGGAACCTGTCTTACCAATCTAGGCGAGGACGCTCGTCTGGGACGGGAGAAAGATGCTGAGCTGAGCTTGCTCTTAGACAAGAGTCCGAAGTTCCTGAGTGAGGAACGTGCAGCGAGGTTAGACTTGTGTCTAGGCTGGGGAGATGTGCAGAGCAGAGTCACAGGTCTGGAGCCGTCAGAATGGGCATGCTTGTCAAAATGATTAGAGAGTGACTAGGGTCCCACAAGCCCCCAATGCAAGGTTTACTTCTGTTCTCAAACCCTCTAGCTTCTCTTGGCCGTGTGTGAGAAGAGCACTCCCATTGGTACCAGCTGCCAAGGAGCTATGCTCCCGTCCATCACCAATGTCATCAACCTGGCCGACAGCCATGATCGAGCAGCCTTTGCCATGGTCACACATGTCAAGCAGGAGCCTCGGGAGCGAGAGAACAGCGAGTCCAAAGAGGAGGTAATGTCTGGATTGCGTGGTGCTTCCTTTTCACAGCAGAAGGCCCATTTCTCCAGGGTTATACTTCTTTAGGGCAGGAGCAATGAATTGAAACCTGTTTACTTTAAAAGCTCTAAATGTGATACCTAGATTCAAGTTTAAAAAATTATTTTTTTGCTAATCCTCACCTGAGGGTATTTTTTCCATTGATTTTTTTTTTAAGAGGGAGTGGGAGGAGGGAGGGGGAGAGAAAAAGAGAGAAACATTGATTTGTTGTTCCATTTATTGAGGCATTCATTGGTTGATTCTTACATGTGCCCTGACCTGGGATTGAACCTACAACCTTGGTGTATTGGGACGATGCTCTAACCAACTGAGCTGCCCAGCCAGTGCTCCTAATCTTTATTATTCTTACTGTTGGAACTTTATTTTGCTTTCCATAATCCAAATATGAATGCAAAATGGTATCATCTAAAAGAAAAAGAGAAAGAGAAGGAAATAGGTCTGATCAAGTTAATCTGTATGTTGTTTATTTTAGAATTCAAGATTATTTTAATAATTGTAAACTTCCAGAAATGAACTAAAATTTTACTTCCAAAATGTAATGAAGTTTATATGAGTTATATTTGTTGGATTTTAATTATTTGACTCTTTGGTTTTGCTTATTTGTGTTTGTTTTTGTTTCTTAGGATGTTGAGATAGATATTGAACTAGCTCCTGGAGATCAGACCAGCACACCCAAAACCAAAGAACTTTCTGAAAAGGACATTGGAAACCAGCTGCATATGTTAACCAACAGACATGACAAATTTCTTGATACTCTCCGAGAAGTGAAGGTCTGTGTGTAGGTTTGGAAGAATAGTTGTGGGTCCCCCCCTTCATATTTTGAATCCTAAATCAATATTATTCCACAGCCATGTAATATTTTCCTTTACAAGTTTCACTTTCTTTCCTTTCTCAATGGGAACCATTATTGTTCTGTGAGACTCTAAAGTGGATGTTTTATGGAAAGATTCAAGAAAGGACTTACATTGTCCTATGGAAAAAATAAAAAGAGGTTAATTCCCCATTACTGTCCCTTGAAAGAAATGGTAAAATTGTTTACCACATATATATGATGAGACATTGCTGGATTATATTTCACGTGCAATAAAAAAGAAGAAAATGAGAATATGTGGTGAATCAAGTTCACTTTTGGGAGCAGGGATCTCCAGATACAGATTCTATTTTGAGATGTATCCACATCTTTGGCTTCCACACACTTTCAGGTTAATTGTAGAATGATCATTTTCAGGTAAGGACTCTGAGAATCACATATGGCTCCATGTACTGAGTTACTTTGGAGGAGTGTTACAAAGAAACAGAGATGTTTCTGGTCATATCAGGAGATAGGTGTGCCCCATGGGCTTCACGCAGGCTAGAGGCCTGGCTATTTTAGAGGAAATGTTGGCAGCTAATTCAGATTTTCAAAAACAACAAAGCTGTGGACAAAATCAACCCATCTGTGGATTTGATAGCTTTGGGGCCCTTGAATTCCCACTCCAGGCCCTTTCATGGTTTCGTCATTCCAGTCACTTTTTTTTTAAAACTTTTATTGATTTTAGAGAGGAAGGGAGAGAGATTAGAGAGAGAGATAGAAACATCAATGATGAGAGAGAATCATTGATAGGCTGCCTCCTGCATGTCCTACTGGGGATCAAGCCCACAACCCAGGCATATGCCCTTGGCCAGAATCGAACCTGCGACCCTTTAGTCCGCAAGCCAGCGCTCTATCCACTGAGCCAAACCAGCTAGGGCTCCAGTCACTTTTTCATCTCTTGGCTGCTGTCAGTTGCAGAGACTCTGAACTTTCCGGGCCCTTGATTTGTTCTTCGGAATTGTACCATTGGCATATAACTTACCTCATATGCGTGTGCTTTTTGTATTTCCCCTTTTATATTTTCAGTGGCCTTTGCTCGATGCACCTGTGCACCGCTCATGTGTACTTTCAGTGTTAGCATGTTTGGAAATGTCCTTAAAGTTAGAAAATGAAGGCGTGTCACTGATGAGCCCTCACCCATGTCTGTGCTTGGCTGCGGAGGCCAGATGGGTTGGTCGCTGTGCTGAGAATCTTTTCACTGTGACGTGACACGGCTCAGACCGTGGGTTGTTTGGAAGTGGAGCAGTGGGCCTGCAGAGCCTCCTGAGCGTGGGCGTGTGAGGCAGCTGCGGGCCGGAGGTTTAGCACAGGCCATGTCGGGCTCACTGGCCTCTTTTCTGTCTGTAGACCGGGGCCCTGCTCAGTGCCTTCGTCCAGCTGTGCCACATTTCCACCACCCTGGCCGAGAAGACCTGGGTCCAGCTTTTCCCCAGATTGTGGAAAATTCTGTCTGACCGACAGCAGCATGTGAGTATATTCTTAAATTTCTGTTTTGGGAAATACAGTCTTAGCTTTCAATAAGTATTTCTGACAAAGTAATCTTGATGATGTTTCAGAGGATGAAGAAAAACTATTGACTTATCTAAGAGTCAATTATTAAAAATATTTACAGATGCTGTGTGAGTCAAAACATGTTGACTTTTTGAAGGGAGACCTGAATTAACATGATCTTTGGTTTTAGGCGCTAGCTGGTGAGATTAGCCCGTTCCTGTGCAGTGGCAGTCACCAGGTGCAGCGGGATTGTCAGCCCAGCGCACTGAACTGCTTTGTGGAAGCCATGTCCCAGTGTGTCCCTCCGATCCCCATCAGACCCTGCGTTCTGAAGTACTTGGGGAAAACACACAACCTTTGGTTCCGCTCCACATTAATGCTAGAGCACCAGGCTTTTGAAAAAGGTCTGAGTCTGCAGATTAAGCCAAAGCAAACAACGGAATTTTATGAGCAGGAGAGCATAACTCCACCTCAGCAGGTGAGGCCCCCCCATGTGTTAATTACACCTTCCTTGCCAATGACACCATGGTCTCAATAGACATCTCCCAAGTGATTTTAAGTTCTAGCACAGTGAAGTTGCTTTATTGGAAAAAAAAGTATTTGTCATGTGTTCTTAAAAACCACGATCTGTGTTTTCAGGAGATACTGGATTCCCTTGCAGAACTTTACTCTTTGTTACAAGAGGAAGATATGTGGGCTGGTTTGTGGCAGAAGCGTTGCAAGTATTCTGAGACAGCAACTGCTATTGCTTACGAACAGCATGGATTCTTTGAGCAGGTAGCCACTGTCCAGTGAATGGGATGCATGGTTATGTTATATATTGTAATATTACAATATTATAGTGTCCTCAAGTCAGTTCACATTCACATAAGAGGTTTACTGTTTTACTTGAAGCACCTGTCCTACACACAGAGGCCCTTTGAAGATTCAGCTTAGAGAAACGTATATGACAGGAACTTACTTAAACGTTCAGCCCTAAATCCTTTGCCAGTAGAAGCTAATGTGGGTGGTTTTTACGGGCACTCATTGACCCTATTGGAAGTGGAAGGTGGATGGCCTTCTGTTTAAATTTTAACCTTCGTGCCTGTCCTTTCAATGTGGCATGGGTGGGCCAAGGGCACAGTACGGTTGTCAGCCTTGCATAGGACGCTGAGCCACAGGAACTCTGGAAGCAAGGTATGGGCTGTGGCCTCTGCTCTTATTGCTGCAGGACAGAGTGGCTCATCCTGGGCCAGCAGCCTCCCTCTCCTCCATTCTGTGTGGGAACGGCGAGCCCTCCGTTCTCCTCCTTCCCTCCTCTCTGCTCTGAGAATAGGAGATTCCCGGGGCAAGTGATTGTAGGGGAGAGTGTCAGGTGCTCCTGGGTCTGTGACCCAACTTGCCCATTGAGCACCAGCTGTGGAAGTTGCCGGAACAGCAGTGTGACAGCATTGTCAACTTCTTTAGGCACAAGAGTCCTATGAGAAGGCAATGGATAAAGCCAAAAAAGAGCATGAGAGGAGCAGCGCATCCCCTGCTATTTTCCCAGAGTACCAGCTCTGGGAGGACCACTGGATTCGGTAAGCCGGACAGGGACGCGTTCCTGCCAGTTAAGGGAACCTGTGACACATCTCTGAAAGGTTCTAGTAATGAGTGTTTTTAAAAGGGAACTTTGCTGCTTTCTTCATGGCTCCATCGAGAAAAGAACAAACAAATCTACGAACGCTTTTAAAGACTGAGTAATTAAAATGTCTGTTGGAGAAACTGATTCCTGCCTCTCCCCTGCTCTGATGCTCTGAGCTCTCCGCTGTGCAGTGGAGCAGCTTCTTTCAGAGGGCAGGTGGGAATGCAGTGGACCAAGCCTTCCTCCCACAGAAGCCCTCTCGTCTTTTGGGGGAAGAAGGCTTTTCTTCTGTGGAATGGAAATAAACGGCTATCCCCGTGCTTTCTGAATCTGTTGGTTTGTTGGTAACTGAACTTCCCAAATCCCTGGTCTTCCAGGTGCTCTAAGGAATTGAACCAGTGGGAAGCCTTGACGGAGTACGGCCAGTCCAAGGGTCACATAAACCCTTACCTCGTCCTGGAGTGTGCTTGGCGCGTGTCTAACTGGACAGCCATGAAGGAGGCGTTGGTGCAGGTGAGCCCTCCCTCCTGACGCTACAGTCTCAGGTTATGTTCCCACAGCTGCGTGCGTTCCTTTTGCCAAAGCCGTGCATCTCTGTGGCGATTTCTCTTCACTTAGAACCTGGGAATTTTGGCAGATCAAGAGAACTTTTGGGAAGCAAGAATGCATTTTGGATATCTCTAACACCTTTTCTGAATTTGAGTTAAATTATAAATTGTTAATTTATCATTCAATTATAATAATAAGTATCAGTTGTGGAGGCCTTGGATTCTAAGTGTAAATGAATAGAACCTGGAGAAATCTGGAAGCAGAGTCAGTTTCACTGGTGGATTTGATGGGCCGAAGCACAGCTGTAGAACTGAGTACAGCAAAGGGGACTCCTACAATCCCAGGGCGTGGCTGTCAGTAAAAGTTTGGAGAATGAACCGGTCTCCTATTCAAAGCACATTTTGTTTTGTGGAAGTGATGGTGGTATAGTGTAAGTGAAGTTGATTTATTAACTTGGTTGAGCTTCACATTACAAAAATTAAACTCCATCCAGAGGGATTGGGTGCATGATGAGAGAGTGGCACACGAGTACAGTTCCCTTTCTCCCACTGGGCATCAAAAGCTATTGGACAGTGTAGCCTGTGTACCATCTGACCCCACAACACATTGTTACTGCCTTATTATTGTCTTCGGATGCAGCCATTCTCATTGCTCTTTATTTTTCCCTGCCTCTGTGCCCGTCCATCGTATGTTCCCTCAGCCCCTGTCCCTGCCAGCTTTTGGTCTTTCTGCGTGGTGTTCATGTAATGGAGCTTAGGGGAAGGAAATGGTGTCATCCTGTTTTCGCCTACCCCTTTACTCACTGGGTTTTCTTGCATTCATGCCAGCGATTTTCTTTATTCTTAACGTGGAAGCCACAAAAACACATTGAGATCGTAGGCCCTTTTCTTTGAAATGATGAACCTAACATTTTAAACTTTATTGAGGCTACAGCACTTATTTCATGACTAAAGTTCCTTTAACAAAATGCAAAAGATGGAAGAACTGAAATAGTCACAAACTGTTAAACATATTGTGGTTATAGAGGCCAAGTCTTGACTTTCAGGTTGGGATCTGGGAAATCAATCATCTGATGCAGGGAGCTTGTATCACTCTGAGAAATAACCAGTCACTTGGCTCAGTGGTTAGAGCATTGGCCCTTGGCCTGAAGGGTCCCAGGTTCGATTCCGGTCAAGGGCACGTACCTTGGTTGCAGGCTCAATCTGAGTACGTGAGGCAGCCAATCGATGTGTCTCTCTCACATCAATGTTTCTCTCTCTGTCTCTCCCTCTCCCTTCCACACTCTCTAAAACTCAATGGAAAAAATCTCCTTGGGTAAGGATTAATCAGAAAACAAAAAAATAAAATCTTTTCAAGGTTTCACTTAGCTGGATATGTGCAGTGTCATACTGCCAATAGGTCTGACAAATGAATTTCTTTTTCAAGAAAAAAATCTTGATTATTTTCCCCAAATTGTAAGGCATTTGCTGATTAGAAAAAAGCTCAAAGTATACAAACATTCTGAGTGATTTTTAGTAAATTAATTTCAAATGGTCTTTAAAGGACTAAATATTTACTTATTTGCCAATATTTAAAAGGAAAAACACAACTTACTTTTTTATTCCTGTGCATTCTGGCTATAGGACTTCTTGCAATAGTCCATTTCTTTTTTTTTTTTTTAAATATATTTTATTGATTTTTTACAGAGAGGAAGGGAGAGAGATAGAGAGCTAGAAACATCGATGAGAGAGAAACATCGATCAGCTGCCTCCTGCACATCTCCTACTGGGGATGTGCCCGCAACCCAGGTACATGCCCCTGACCGGAATCGAACCTGGGACCTTTCAGTCCGCAAGCCGACGCTCTATCCACTGAGCCAAACCAGTTTTGGCAATAGTCCATTTCTTGGTGTGATTTAATAGATGGGTTAATTTTTTTCAGTGGTGAGAAATTAAGAGATGCCTTTGCTATTAGTGTTACAGAGGATAGGTGTTGTAATTGCCCCAAAAAAAGAAAAAAGAAAAATGCCTGTTAATTAGTGTTTAAGTCCAGAAAATGTGAAATTGGTATAATTTTAGACGATCATGTTAGAAGCAGATGTGTTCACAAGTTTGCCTTCCTGAATTTCTTCATCACTGGGTTGTTGAGATCTGAGGGGTCAAGAATGTGAATTTTAATTTTTTTGTTAATCCTCACTCGAGGATATTTTTTTCCATTGATTTTTTTAAAGAGTGAGAGACGGGGAGGGAGAGAGAGAGCTCAAGCACAAGAGAGAGAGAGAAAGAAACGGCAGTGTGTGTCCCATTGATTGGGTGCCTCCTGCACATGCCCCAACTGTGGCTGGGGATCTAACCTGCAACCCAGTTATGTGCCCTTGACCTGGAATTGAACCTGTAACCCTTTGGTGTGTGGGCTGATACTCTAACCACTGAGAACCATTGGCCAGCGCAAGAAGGTGAATGATTTTTGAAAGAGTAAGAAGTCAAAACAAGCCAAGGTATAAAATACAGGACGGCATTATTATTACATCATTTGGGCAAAGAGCATTAAGGCACTAAAATGTGTATAATTTTTATTGTTACTTCCTACAGGTGCTGAACAATGAATGTTTCTTGATCTTGTTACAGCAAGTCCTATGCAATTCCTTCAGCAGAGATAGCCTTTTATCTTCTTATATACAGAGATTATTCTTGAGACTTTAATTTTTTATCATTTAAATGCTCTATGTGAGATTGATAACGTGATGAGTTCTAATGCTTCCTCTCGAAGGTGGTGAGCAAGCACCTGGGCTTTTAGGGACACACAAGGATCCTTTACCCAGCTGTAGCTGTGTGTGCGGGAGCAAGGGTTAGGGTTACAGATTAACTTCCCAGAGTAAGAGTTGAATTAGGAAAAGTTCATAATTTCACTGGTATTTGTCAGAGTGGAGATGAACATGTGTTTAATACTTTGGACTTCACTGGGTAACTTTGTAGCCAAGTGATGGTGGCTAATCTAATCTGTAGTAGCAGTGGTGATCAGTTTGCCCTACCGCTGATACCTTAAAACAAGGAGCCTGTGGCATATTTTCGTAGCTAGAGAGATTGGCCACGGACTGGTATTCGGAAAAGGAGAGTATCAGAAAAAGTAGTTGAAATGTATGACTTCTCTAAACAAAAGAAATGTCTGTTACAGCTAAATTTCTGCTTATTGCTTTGACTACAAAAATACATTGACTTTCCTTTTTGACTCTTTCTGCTGAGAGGAAGAATACCCATAGCTTCCTATGTAATGTTCTTTATTACCAGGTAGAAGTAAGTTGTCCCAAGGAGATGGCTTGGAAGGTCAACATGTACCGTGGATACTTGGCTATCTGCCATCCTGAGGAGCAACAGCTCAGCTTCATCGAACGCCTGGTGGAAATGGCCAGCAGTTTGGCCATCCGTGAGTGGCGGCGCTTGCCTCATGTGGTGTCCCATGTGCACACGCCTCTTCTCCAGGTGGGTTATGTGAGCAGCCTCATGGGCCCTCATAGCAGAGAACAGCTTGTCCAGGCGTAGATCTGTAAACTGAACTGGATGGCAGAAAGGAAACTCCTTCTTGTCTTTTCCTTTCCTACTTAAACTCATCCTCAGTGGAAGGAAGGCCGAGTGAAAATGTAGACTAAAATGTTGCTTCTCATTTTTGGAACTTCCAAGGGATTTAAGTGACAGAAGATATCCTCAGGAGTGATTTTGATGATTTGAATTTTTGCTTTACGAATTTTATTTAGTGCCCACTATACCACCATCAGTGTGATGCCACTGTTCAGTTCGAAAGGTCTGTCATTCTCTGAAACTTTCATATATTTAAATTGATTTCAGAGAAGTAGGGAGAGAGAGATAGAAGAGTAAATGATGAGAGAGAATCATTGATTATCTGCCTCCTGCACACCCCCTACAAGGGATCAAGCATGCAACCAGGGCATGTGCCCTGACGGGGAATTGAACCGTGACCTCCTGCTTTGTAGGTTGATGCTCAAACACAGAGCCACACCAGCCAGGTGGAGGATATATTTTTTTGGTTTGTTTATTTGCTTTTTGTTATTAATATTTTTAATTTTAATAATGATTGTCAAATTGTAGTGTAGGAAAGATGAATTTTGACAAAAATACTTTCAGTAGTTAACCAAAAAAGAGTTATCTGGTTAATTCATGTATCCAGGCTTAGAACTTCAGGGTATCTCCTTCATTCCCTTCGGTCCTCCTCAATATCAGGACTTGCTGTGTTTTCCTTCAGAATGGGTCTCAAATGTTTTTTTTTAATTGTCAGTATTACAGATATCTCCCATTTTCTCCCTTTTGCCCTCCTCCACCCCACCCCACACCAGGTCTTCCCCATACTGTTACCTGTGTCCATGTTATGCATATATGAATATATGTCCTTTGGTTAATCTTGTCCTCCTCATCCCCACCTGAGATATGTTATTCTGTTACATGCATCCATTCCTCTGGCCCTATTTTTTTTTTTTGGCCCTATTTTTTTTGTCAGTTTATTTCATTAGATTCCACATATAAATGGGTCATGTGATATTTGTCTTTCTCCAACTGATATATTTGGCTTAGCATAATACTCTCCAGATCCATTCATGCTGTCTTAAAGGGTAAGAGTTTTTTTATAGCGGCATAGTATTCTATTGTGTAAATGTACCACAACTTATGTAGCCACACTGATCAATTACCTCCTATATATACCCCAGATCAAACCCGTGACCTTCTGGTACATGGGATGACACTCCAACCAACCAAGCTACACCAGCCAGGGCGAGAAGTGCTTCTTTTTATTTTATTAACTAGAGGCCCGGTGCACAAAAATTTGTGCACTTGGGGGGAACAGGGGGTCCCTCAGCCCGGCCTGTGCCCTCTTGCAGTCTGGGACCCCTCGGGAGATAACGACCTGCTGGCTTAGGCCTGCTCCTGGGTGGCAGAGGGCAGGCCCAATCCCTAGGTGCAGCCCCTGGTCGGGCTCAGAGCA